TCGCTGTACTAAAATTTAGTGGCGAACAAATATTGTCATCATTTCCTCCCGATATTGTATATAATTTGCCTGTATTTTGCAATATTGTTCATGTTAATCTAAAGGAGTAAAATAGACAACTATTATAACAATCTCGGAGGTTATTAATATTGTAATGTTATTTTGATAAGAAACTGTTCGCCAGTTTTCATATGCAAATGTCCAGCATTCAGAGGCGTTCTCAGGATATTTCAATGGAGGGGGATGAAAAAAGTGGTTTCAAAATAAGCCGTACCTAAGGGTTTTGTCTCACAATTCCCATATTATAATAATGAATATTAAAAAAGCGGGCAAGTGGATGTCGCTCTGCTGTACAGTAGATTACAATAGTTGGTCACTGTATAATGGATTGTATTAAATTTGAATTCAATGATATCGTATCATTGTATACGAAAAACGATTCTGAGCGGAGACGGTTTGTCAGTCTGGATATTTTATATTGTAATTATATTTTATAATAGCCTGTAAGTTGAATTAATATTATAAATTACGATAAAATAACTAAAATCATTATTTTTATTTTATTTGTTACAATGGTGATAAACAAAGTGTTAGAAATTGAAATCACATTTTTAGCGGTTTTTGAAATTTGTCGGTGAAATTGTAATGTGTCATTAAATAAATATTGAGAAAATTGAAAAATTACCTCTCTAAAGTACCATCTTGATAAAATTTGCTAAAAGAAAAGATATACTATATGTTAAAAGCGAAGAACTGCTTCTGGTAGAAATTTTGTAAGCAGGATAAAATAAAAATAAATATAAACAATATTGAAAAACCAATAGATCCCTCACTCCGCTCAGAATCTAATAATATTGATAGTAATATAGTTGATAATATCAAATAATCAATTCAAGTCATATTTATTGTTCTTTTTATTTAAACTAGAAAAGAATGCTATGAATCAGTTTAAATCAGGAATGGAAAATGTTTTTAATTTTTTCGTTTTTGTTTTTGATTAACGTTTTTAAAAACGTTATTTTTCTATATTGTTTTTTTTTTATAGTAGTAAATTTAGCAATTTCGAAATGCACTTAAGAGTTAAAAATTAAAATTAATTATTCTTGATTTCAAATAAAAATGTTTTTAAATTTTAATAGAGCATTGTTGGTAAAGATTAAAAAGTAAATACTAAAGTAACATTTTTTTTTCGTGTTATAAAATATAATAATGTATAATACTATAATTTATTTGGGTTTTCGTTTTTGATTTCGTAATTAATTTTTTTTCTGTTTTTGGGATTTTTTGTTATGGTTTTTTGTTTTTGTTTTATTCATTGTTTTCGTTTTTTTTTTGGTTTACTAACGTATTTTAAATCGTTTTCCATCCCTGGTTTAAATTATTTATTTTATTTTATCACTGTGGTGTTATCATTGTGTATCTTACCTTTACATTTTTTCTGACGCTGGGAATTTATAAAGTTGACGGAGTGATTGTTTACAAAAATACAGTACAAATCAATTGTAAAGCGAATTGCCTGTTACATGTTATAATTATCAGTGATAAATAATAATATTGTTTATGGCTGGTGGAATCAATAATCACGATAAAGAAAATTGCAAAAAAAAAAATAAAATAATAACTACCAAGTCAATATTGAAAACACAAACACATACCAAAAGTAGACAAACCGTGTATTACTAATATGTAAAAAAATAAAGAACCTTGGGGGGGATCCAAGCCCGGAATAAGGGGGGGTCCAGGGGGGCCATGGCCCCCGGGCCTCCATTTATTTAGGGGCCTCAGATTTGTCCGTTATAACACCGCATAAATCACTTTAAAAAAATCGATGATAATTTAGAGAGGAAAAAAGCTTGTAAATTATAATTTATAAATAAAATGATACTTAATTCTTGATTTATTGCTATGTACCTTGGTACATATATATATTTATTATAACAGGTACCTATATATTAATATACATAATTTTTTTTTCGTACAGGGGCCTCATTTAAACTTTGGCCCCTGGGCCTCAAAATGTCTTAATCTGGGCTTGAAGATAGGGAAGAGTGGAGAAGAATTGTTTTGGAAGCCAAGGGTCACTATATGGCCTGTAGCGCTTACGAGTAGTAATAGTAGTAGTAGTATAATATGTTTGATAAACTGAACTACTTACTTCAAACAATAAAAAATTCAGAAAAAAAATAAGTTGGTATAAAGTAAAATATAATTAATAATTAATAAAAAATGGTTAAAAATTCCGACATAAAAATGATACATTTTGTAAAAACATTTGAATTCTGATTCTTTTGTTATTTGTTATTTCTTAACTTATAATTTTTAGCCTTTGTTCATATTTATTTTGTTTTTTTTTTTTTTTTTTTGTTAAAACTGCAGCAGTTTGAATATTTAACAATTTAATAATTGCTTGTGAATTTGATTCAAGTAGTTTAGTTTATCAAGTTGTTTTTTTAGATTCTGAGTGGAACGATGAATGTATTGATTTTACAATGATGTGTGTTTTTTTATTTTTGTGTCTGTTTACACGATTAGTAGTCGAAATAATGCTTAGATTTTAAACTTCAGTATCTTGTTCGATGGGAAAGTGAATCTAGTTGGTACTTTTGGGAGGTCAAAATTTTAAATTCCCAATAGTTTTCAAAAGCGCCCGGAAAAACAAAATTAAAATTAAGGAAAACCGAGAATTTTTACGCAAAATTGGTTTTTGACAAAATCGATTTTGGCTTTTGGTGTAACTCTAAAACAAATGATCGTAAATCCATGAAATTTTCACTGAATGTTAAAATATTAGCCTTTTCTATTTATGAAAAAAATTTTAAAGTATTTTGACTTGTTTACGGATATACTCAGTTTCCAACTTGTATAGGTTTTATTTTCTATGAATGTCAATAAAACTTTATTTGTTGAGTCAAAAAGCTTGGCAATTTAATACAAATAAGCTCCTACTATGTTGTTACAATGACGTTTGAAAAATATTAAAAATCCTTGGTCACAGTTTTTTTTTTATACGCATTTAAAGTTCAAATATATTGACAAAATACGAAAAAAACTACCTATCAAGCATCAACCTACGTCCTACCGTACAGCAGAGTGACATCCACTTACCCACCTTTTTATATTTATGAATATATTTTAAAATATTATACAATAGGCATAAATTAATTTCATATTAAATAATAATATTATATTATTAAATAGTAAACTTTAAAAAAAAAATGGGGGGAAATGTCTGCGATTCGTGTATAGGGACCAAGGAATCAGTAAATCAGTTACCTAATATGATTTCGACTAGCTAAAGGTACCTTATAATGTTTGATTTATCAAAACTAATTGATTATAATTGGTTGTTGACTGCAAGGACGATATCCATATGACATTATGACGAAAATTTTTCCGATGCGTGCACTTTATAATATTAGATATGGTGATTCACCAAGCAATAAACACGATTCTCACCCCCTCCTTACCCTTAATTTTAACTTTTAAATGTACCTATGGGCGCAACTACAATAACACAACGTTCTGAAAAATCTCCGGAAGTTCGACAATAGTGGACGTTATTTTGGGAACGAACTATAAACTTTCTACAGCATGATCCCTCTGAATTGCGGACACCGCCTAGTAGTGGACTAAATTTAAAGACTAAGAGTGTCCGGTATTTATAGAAGTTTCGTTGTAATATGGAATAGTAAAAAAGTAGATATTTTAAAAACACTCGTATAAATAGAAATTTATGTTTAGGCTTCGTACTAATTGTTGCACCAGGCCTCGCAAATCCCAAGGACGGCCCACGCTCATATTGTATATACATATAAACATACTACAAACATACATATTAGTATATTACATACATAGGCGTGCGCAGACTTAAATTTCTGGTCGAGCCTAGACATTATTATAGTGCCCTAATATTTGGACGGCGCCAATATTTTTTTTTTTTTAACACACCAACATACATGCTGATAATATATTAACCTATTAATGTCTATAGTACTATAGTTATTGTATTTGTACCTATAAAAGTAAAATGTTTTTTTTAGATTAATAAAATGTATGTAATGGTTAGGTTAGGTAGGTACACACAAATATTTTTGATTTTTTTATACTTTCACGGCAAACAAAGTTTTCATGATCTCCACGAACATATTATTATAATATAAGCATTATAATAAAATATTTAAATATATACGCACATTTTACTATGCCCCTAAAAAGTTTCAGGTCGAGCCTGGGCTTGACCGGCTCGCCCCGTGCGCACGCCTATGATTACATACATGATATATACATAATATACATAGGTAATAAATTACCTATTATGTATTTGTGTATGTATGCGTAAAGCCCCAATGTATCGCTGAATAATTGATATCTGCCTTGTCATCTTCGTACCTATATTATCTATTTTTAAATCATTAATCATTATACATTTTATTACTCATTTTCACTAAATTATTGTGCCTACTTGATATATTAATTAATATATAGGTAGACTTGTTTAGATTTTGGTATATCAAGGTGTCGCTTGAACATTTTATACCTGTATAATTAGTATTTAGAAGCGATGAACCTGCAATCTACATATTATAGGTATAACCACTATAACAAAATAATTAATAAAGCAATAACACACCCTCCGTCCCCCCTCCTCACATCACTTTAAAAAATAGTAAATCGTCAACGTATTTCATTTTTTAAATAACGTGTTAATTTATATTTGTCCAAATATTTCATCACACAATATACCTAGTACCTATTCAATACGAACCATGAGTAACAATATAACAGTTTGAAAATACGAATGCAATTGATTAGATAAACTTTTCTCGAGTGGTGTGAACCCACAGTACGCATATACACCCATATTTGTTTTCTCCAAATCTTATCTGTTCGTATATGTGGCCTCAGATACATATTTGAAATGACGATTTTTTTTTTTAGCACACGACCGACAGCTTTTGTAGATCGCGGTCGCATTACTATTAGTTACCTACCTACACCGAATGGCGAATAATTATTGTTATTATTTGGCCGCGTGCCTAGCACTATACGCGTATCCGGTGGTCACTCAAAACAACTTTAACGACCCGTACGGTCAAAATGCTCAACAGTATTATCAACAGGCGCAGCAAAGGCCGCAGGACCTTATCGATCAACAGTTCAGCCGTCCGTTGTACGGTTTCCAGGAAAACCAACGACAGGCACAGCAGCAGCAACAGCAACAACAGCAGCAGCAACTACAGCAGCAGCAACTACAACTACAACTTCAACAACAACAGCAGCAGCGATTGCAACAGCAACAGCAACAACAACAGCGGTTACAACAGCAGCAACAGCCGCTACCGCAACCGCGGCTACAACAACCGCGATTGCCACAGCAACCAATGCGAAATCCGAATTTCAATCAAAACCCAACCTTTTTCCAGGAGAGACAGAATTACAGTAAGTAATAGTTTTTTTCCTTTTACATAATATGAGTTCACAAAATAGTGTAAAACGTGTTATCGGTTACCTATGTTATATAGAGCACAATTGTAGGTAGGACGTAAAAGTATAGGAACCACAGGGCACAGAGAGGAAACCTCTGGTTCGAAGTATTGAAAAAATATACTTTTGTTAATTAAATTATTATTTAAAAACTATTATTCAAATGATAAAAGGAGGAGGTAGGCAACTAAGGCTAAATCGGATGCCTACGTCAAATATTATTAATGATCCATTATATACAATGACTAATGGGGCCAACACTATTTGTTCTCATTCAATTTTTTATATGGATCCAATACCAATTAATGAGTAATACAATATTAGCGTGTTTCCTGTACAAACATTTGAACCGATTCATTATTGGTTACCTAAATGATTATAATAAAAACATAAATATTTTAACACGAGGCTATTTGCAACGTTTTATTTTAAAGTTTTGTAGCTGAAAATATATTTCATCATGCTTTCAATCCTCATAGGCCATAGCCCAAATATTATAATACAAGATACCTAACCGAGTATAATAATAGTATGAATTATGATTGATATTTAATATATGGATGTGGTTAGAATGTGGTGGATGTGTGTATAATTTATATATTTATTAAATAATTTACGCCCTCGAAGGGCAGGTGTGCAGTTAACATAATTTTAAACCTATATACTTACATAATATTATGAAGAAATAAGAATACATAATTTAATAAACTAATAACGTTTTAAGTTTGCCTTATCATTTATAAAAAAGTCAACATTCGTTAACTCGTCACAGAAATTTAACATTCGATATATAGGGCTGCTTAGAATAAAATTGTTTGCTTGTGTTTCAAAATAGGAACAGCGAAAATTACTAGTAGCAATTTGTGGTAGATACCTACGTTAAGTGAGATCTTTTGAAATAATTCCGGACTGACAGTATAACCTAATATGCATCAAAAAAATTACGTCTAGATATCAATACGATCATAACATGAAACTTTATTTAATAATAAGAATTGTAGAACTTTATAATGATGACAAATAAGTTCCATTTTCTATATAAATTATTATCTAGGTAGTTAATATATACCTGCCTATTTTTAAATTAAATAAAAATTTGTAGTAGGTATCAATATGAATTTTGAAAGCAAAAATAACATTATTAATCCATAAAATGTACCTAATTAATGTGAATTAAACGAAATAACTCCAAACTACTATAAGTAGGTACTTATACCTACCCTACATAAAATCTTTTATAAGAGAACTCACGTTCTCTAATCGAATAAACTTGTTCAACACAAGATTTAACTGTTTAGTAACACACTAACACTCACATATACTATATCAACTATTGTTTATATCTATTTTACAACATAATTATTCATAATTCATAAAAAATTAAACATAATATTGTATTCTAAACGAAATTACCGTCCTGTGAAAAGATAAATTATTTAATAGTAAATAGGTACGTCTTATATACCTAACTGAATGTATTGTTAAACTAGTCAGGAGGTACTTATCGAGTAATATAAATTGTGTGTATCATTTTTACGGTTGTAATAAACATAATAATATAATATCGTCTGTACTCTGTAGCGGTATACTTAGTGATGGGTAAATACTCGGTAAATATAATTTCAGGTAAAAACGGGTAAATTTATTTTTTATGCTAAAACCAATCTATGGATATCACAATACTTTTTTATGATTGTTTCCTGACTTTTCCAATAGAATAATAAAAAAGATGTTTGACAATAACTATAGTTAGGTATCCATTACAATAAACTAAATGATTTAAAGTTTCATTAAAATTTAAAAAAATTTCTAAAAATTTAACTAAATATTTACCCGAATTTTTGGTAGGTAAATATGATAGTGGGTAAATACCCAAAATATTTACCTACCCATCGGGTATTTACCCAAAGCACATCACTAGGTATACTACTATAGCCTACATAGGTAGTTGTAATTAATATCGAAAATTCTTAAATTCATACTATAGATTCGGTTATAGTATTTCCGTTTTCGATATTTCCAATGAAAGTTACGATGTAAGTAATTTGATGAGTGGAAAGTGGTATGCTATATTATAGTTAAGGGTATTGCACTAAAAAATTTAGATCAATCTCAGAGCTCAGAACTTAATGTAGAATAATATAATCAACACGACAACACGCGTGCAGCCGTGCATGGCACATATTCCCAATAAATTGGTGTAAATATATTTGGAAGCCGTAACTAGATTTCAAGATTTGTATTAATACTATTTGTAGTTTTTATATGATATTCGCTGCTTGTATAATAATATTTAACTATATGAAACGAATTTATATATATATAATTTAAATTTAAGAATTCACGAATTTTTATATAATACTTTTAACTTAATACCAACGAAATAATATAATATTATTATAATAGTTCCAGTTAAGAGTTGATATCAGTTGAATAATATTAATATTAGGTAGGTATGTGTTATAAATGCTTGATTGGATTATAATATATTTATATAGAGTATAATATATATGGTGTGTCATAAAGTTATGTTTATGTTTATCTCTAAACGTAAGCTTAGGTACTGCTCGGCGTATAACTATGAGTATGACGCAACTAATACAAATTCCATCACTGAAAACAATAACTTAATACGTAACAGATTTATATTCAAACCGTTTCCTGTTGTAGTTCGTATTTACACAGTGACAAAATCATAAAACATAATATTATATTACAGCGTGTACACCTCAACACCTGCCTACAATTTTCAGTGTATTTACTTTTGTACTATTATATCTAAAAACATACCTATGATTCAAGTCGTTAAAATACCTTTATATATCATACCTATACATATTGATTAATTAGTTTTATTAGTTGATAAAATATTGTAAACTCATACTTTTTATCACTTATATGATTATAATATATTATTCAACATTTCTATTAAGTGTAAAACTATACTACCTTTGCTTTTTATGTTCAACAACTGTTAAAATATATATATCTGTAGGTTGATTTTTTTTATAAACAACTTAGGTACGAGAAAGTCGAAATTAATACCGTGTGTTCAATTTTAAAGGTAACAGGAAATATTTCGATCGTATGACCTTGAATTTGATTCGGGGTTTTTATACTGCATATAGGACTTATAAATACATATTTTTTTAATAAATTCAAATTTTTATCCTTTTTTTATCAGCGCATGCGCAGTAAAATAAAAATTTCTTAAATAGCAACCACTATTTTGGAGACCGGATTTCGATTTCTTTATTTTTTCTGAACAACTTTGATCTTTACAGTTTGTTGATATCTTCAAAATTGCCATGTTTATGACGGTCGGAAGTTTTAAAATAGTTAATTCGTAAATAATTGTGTGGTGGATGATATCTCTCGGGATATCGTTCAGCATAAAGTGCCGCTGCGTTACCCGAATTTTGATGACATTCTCCAAAAATTAATACCATATCGGTTTTTTCGGAATAGTTTGCCATTGTACGGAAAATAATGTGTCACGCGCGACTTACGAAAAACGTTTGACTATTCACAATCAATTTTAGAATGCTATCAAAATATCTTATTCACACAGGTTAATAGTATAACTTTCATTATAATACTATTAAAAACAAATTAAGATAATAGTAGTAGATAATTTAGTAGTTTTAATAAAAATAAATTGTTTTAATAATACCTATAAATACCTATAAATTAAGATAGACAGTTGAAAAATGCAATATTTACAAATTAACTATTTTAAAACTTCCGACCGTCATAAACATGGCAATTTTGAAGATATCAACAAACTGTAAAGATCAAAGTTGTTCAGAAAAAATAAAGAAATCGAAATCCTGTCTCCAAAATAGTGGTTGCTATTTAAGAAATTTATATTTTACTGCGCATGCGCTGATAAAAAAAATTAAAAATTTGAATTCATTAAAAAAATATGTATTTATAAGTCCTATATGCAGTATAAAAACCCCGATTCAAATTCAATGTCACACGATCGAAATATTTCCTGTTACCTTTAAAATTGAACACACGGTATAATTATATTTAACTAAGTACATATAGCTATAACAAAAAAATGTACCCTGATATGTAAGTATAGGAATTCAAAATGATAATACATGAGAATTGAGTAATTAATTAGTACCTATACCACTGAATACTTCTACGTTTGATTTATTAAATATTGTACTATGTACATTGTATACACACTAAAATATTGAAGTCTAAATTTTATACTACTTACAGACAGTTTCGCGTCCAGATATGCACCTCCTACTCTAAGATTACAAGCTGGTTCAGCTCCTTACGTTTTGACCGAAGAGAGATTGGCGGAAATCCGAGAAGAGTTCATGTACTGGTATTTCGATAGAGGCGGTGATAATGACTTAGGAGACTACCAAACCGACATACATGGGTCTATGCCTCAGATTCACAAAAATTTTAATTTTCAATTGCCGTTCTTCGGCTTTCGATTCAACTACACTCGGGTGTCAATGAACGGTTATTTAGAATTCAGTGATCCACCGAAACACTACCGATATCCGTTGTCATTTCCGATCAAAGAGTGGCCGAAAAAGAACGACCCGTCCTTCATCGGTATATTCTACAGCAAGTGTCGGATTGGTTCACTTAGAACTGACGACATTGACCGACGCAAGCCTGGAGTTTATTTCCGCATGGAAAGGGATTTGCAAGCTCGAACCGATCAGTTCGGAGTGGAAATGAGAGAAAGATTAATGTGGGATATTCGAGAAGGCGTAGTCGGTGCCGACTCGTTCGTACCCAAACATTCAGCCATTATTACGTGGAAAAACATGTCATTTGCCGGAGGAATTGACAATTCACTTTACAGGGTAAACACGAGCAATGCGCAATTATAGTTTCATTTAATTATTGATAGCACTTCGCAGTTTTATAAACATCATATAGACGCTAAACAAATCATTTTTATTTTTCATTTCAGACTAATACGTTTCAAATGATCTTGGCCACCGACGAAGTATTCACTTACGCTATATTCAATTACGTAGACATGCAATGGACTAGTCATACAGAAGCCGGTGGCGATACGACTGGTGGCGAAGGGGGAGTACCAGCTTTTGTGAGTTAATTGAAAAATTTGTTTCGATGTTTCTATGATACCGTGTCGTGTCGTAATAATATTATATAATTATCATTATGCTCTAGGTGGGATTCAACGCTGGAAATGGGACAAGGAGTTTCGAGTATTATCCTTATTCGCAAAGATCGACCATTAGAGACTTGGTTGGTCGTGGTTGGGCGAATAACTTTCCTGGTCGACACATATTCAGAATCGACGAAAACATTATGTTAGGAACGTGTAATAAAGATATCGGTCAGTAAATCAGTTGTAAAAAATTATTTTGAAAATGTATTTAACATAGGTATACTTATTACTTATAGAAGACTATTTTGGACTTTGGTTAATGCGTTTAAGTTATTTTCTTAAAAAATTAATACTTCCGTTATTTGACTTTTTTAAAGTGCCAAATGTATGTGTAGAAATGTATTCAAAGTTTCATCCATTGTACATAAATAATTTCCGAGATGTACAAATCTGAAAGAAAACATTTTCCAAAGTTTAAATTTTGAAAGTGTGGGCCATGGAAATGTACCTGAAACGCTGGGGGTGGGCACATAAACTTAAATAGTGTATGAAACTCAACATGTAAAATCAACCTGTAGCTCAGGGCTATTACTTGATACTCTGATGATGCTTTTAAATTTTAGTAATGAAATCATTAGTTTCCCCCTCCCCCACCCCCGTGTTTACGGTCCTGTTGACACAGGTATTGGGTATTTAGGTCATGCATACAGTAAAATTTCTAAAATATAAAATATTATGCTTTACGGTGTGTATAGCTGGTACAAATTTGCCGTTGGTTTTCGCACCGGAGAGTGGCAACATGTTGGGCGGCACCGTCGTCAACATCACCGGACCGTGTTTTGAGCCCGGAGACAAAGTCCGATGCAAGTAAGTAACACATTTTTGGTTAGCTTATGAAAATCAAAGAAAAGTTTGGGTGAAATACTATGATTTATGAATACACTATAAATCACTGTAGATTTGACACGGAAGAAGTTGTCGGCACCGTAGTGAATAGAAACCGTGCCGTTTGCATCCAGCCGTTTTTGATGGCCGAAGGTTATGTAATATTTGACGTGGCGATTGGTGACGAAAAATATAATTGGAAGGGAAAATACTTTGTGGGTATGATGATATCGGCCGGATATACGAAATATATTATGTTAAGTTTTTTCACATAAACCTTATATGTCTTTTTCACATTTCCCTGCAGAGACTCCAGCCACGGCTACCGAGCGAATTCGGTTCCAAGACTCAGCAATACGAGAAAGAAAGCCTAAAGAAATAAAAATTACCTGGGAAAAGCAAAATCTTACAACGAATTTTGACGCACAAATACAGATATCCCTTTACGGTTACAGAGAAGTAACAATCGCACCGGAACTCGTATTCATCGATGTCATAGCGGTAAGCGAGTGTTTCATATTGTTGTTTCAATTACCTATACTTATATAATTGTATTCTGTTGTATCGACTTAGACAAATATTCCCAATTCGGGTGAATACATCATAAGCCCGGCTACTTTCGAAGACCGCGACAACGTCCAAAACTTAGATTTGACGTTTGGATTCTTACAAATACAACTGTCCAATCCGACGATGTACTCCGGCATTTCGATTTCTCCGTAACCACCTTTCTATTATTAATATAATACATTGTTATACATACAAAATTGTTTCAACGAATTTGGTGAAAACGGATGTACCGTTTGACACGTGTTCGCCTCGCTCTTGTCCAAATTACACCGGGTCAATTGTATGTTAGTCGTTAGATAATCCCAATTTGTAAGAAATTTTAATTTGATTTTTAGAATATTATGTATAAGTTCATTGGTTCGAAGAAGTATCCAAAATTAACTTTCGTGGGCTGTCTTTACACTATTCCCCCGTATCTAGTCCAAATTACACCTAAACAATTTTAAGTTGTAGAGCTTAATTTGTAAGTAATAAACTGTAAGTTTCTCACGGCCAAATAGTGACCTATATAAACTTAATGGAGGTGCTAACTTCACATTAGCTCCCCCTCCCTTATACAAATTAAGCTCTACGACTTAAAATTTGGTCAAAATGATGGCGGGCGGGGGGGGATAGTGTGAAGATAGCCTTCAAATTAATTTTGGCTATATCTTTGAACCGATGAACTTATAAATTCGTAAAGTAAATTTACAATTAAGCACCTACATACAAATTGATCTTTTAAAGGTCCAAATGGCCTGGTGTAATTTGGACATGGGGTGGGCTAACTCTACACTCTCAGTTTTGACGTTCACCGTTGTTACTTGTAGGGTACTGTGGAGCAAGCCCGTACCTCTTGCGTGGTATTTCGCACCGCAGTGGGAACGGTGGCACGGGTCTTCTTGGCCAGAGAGACTGTGTGACAATTGGATTAAGAACGACAGGTATCTGAAAAATTTTGCGGCCGAGATATTCCAGTGCCCGTGCACTCTGGAGCACGCTCTCGTCGACCGGGGCCGGTTCTTGCCCGACGCAGACTGCGACCGGGACGCCAACCCCCAGTGTCTGTACAACAAGGGTGCCGTGCACTGTGTCACGACCGGGGCGCCGAGCATGGAAGGCTCGGAACAGCAGTGTTGCTACGACAAAAACAATTACCTGATGTTGTCTTACGACCAGCAGTGGGGCTCGAGGCCGCGGAGATCACACAACCTGGGATTCTTACCGTGGACCGAAGCCAACAAAGTGAATTTCAACGGAAAACACACCCGGCCAAAACAATTTTTAACCACGAAACGTTGACGATTTCCAGGTGCCAACGCTGTCCCAGTGGTTCCACGACATGAGCCCTTTTTTCCCGTGTTGCATGTGGCAGGAAGAGCAGGCGGTCGGCTGCGAAACTTACCGATTTGAAAGACGTCCATCTCAAGATTGCGTCGCATACCAATCGCCATACGTGGGTATGTGTAACTAACATATACTATTATAGATAACACGAGTATAAGTGCCCCGTCAAACTGGTTGGTGATTTGGGGCAAAAATTAATTTATTGTTTTTCGCTCTATGCCTGTTATTATCAATTGAACCACATCAAAACGTTCAGAATGTTTGCCTTCCGATGTCACGAGCTCATGGCTCATGCTATGTACAATTATACACTCGAATTACACGTAAAATAGGGTACCTACTCTTTAGCACCATATATAGTATTATGACAATATAGTACTAGATTTAGTAATTAATATAATAATAATAATTTATTCAATTAATTAAAATAACGGGCCAAAGTTTTATAGTGCAGATAGCTTATTAACTGGAACAATATTATAAAAAAATTGCCCCAAAGTAACCCTGTTCGATGGTATACTTGTAAGTGGCTACAACCTGTGTATTAAATATTAATTTTAATTTTATCATATAATTGCCAATCGGTAAGGGTTATTTAATTGTACGTAGGTAAATAATTATATAACTGTACGTTATAATATATTATACAAATTACGCGATGACACTAAATCGATCATATTATACAAAATATATAACTAATATAATATATAGCTACCGTCTTCGGCGATCCTCACGTCATCACTTTCGACGATCTGGAGTACACTTTCAACGGCAAAGGCGAGTTCGTGTTGGTTCACGTGGAATCGGAAAAGTTCAAATTCGACGTGCAAGGCAGATTCGAACAGTTGCCGGACAACATATATGGACCGGTAAAGGCCACCACGCTGACGTCCGTAGTGTCTCGAGACAATACCTCCACCGTGATTGAAGTCCGATTACGGCCCAGAGTGGCCCAGTGGAGGTACAGGATGGACGTTTTTGCCGACGGTAAACGAGTGTATTTCGACAGACCGGCGTTGAAGGTGCAACATTTTCACGGTAAACTTGGAATATTTTACCATTATTGTAATCGGCCGAACGCGATTATTTAATTACCGTCAAATCGTTATTACTATTGTTATCCATGTATACCTATACATTTATGATTTTTTTTATTCGTTTCAAGGAGTGACTGTTTACGCGCCTTCTTACGTTTTAAACCAGTCCGAAATCGTGGTCATGTTTCAGTCAGGCGCTGGGTTGGAAGTATTGGAAAACAAAGGGTTCATGACTACTCGAGTGTATTTACCCTGGCAGTTTATCGTAAATATTTAATTATCACAATTATTATTTATTTCTCTATTTCAATGAATACACTATGGCCACTTCGAGATACAGAATAGGTACACTTGTGCATTATTTTATTTTTTTTTTTAAACCCAGAATCGAACCAGAGGATTGTTTGGTAACTGGAGTTTTGATCAGTCCGATGATTTTACTCAACCCGATGGCACAATAGTACAACCTAATACGTTCGATTTCGAATCGGTACACAAAATGTATGCTTCAAATTGTGAGTAAAATAATATTACTGCGATAGTATATAGCGACCGGGTTTATTTCTTTTATAAATTATGTTTCGTTGTTTTGTTAAAACATTGTATTAATATTTATTCTTTTTCTCGCAGGGATTTTGGAAGACAGAGACGAGAAGAACAAAGGTGGCGCATTATTCTTTCGCGAATACGGTCGGACGGCTAGTTACTATGCGAATCGAACGTTTGAGCCTGTTTTCGAGCCCACTCCAGAACTCATTATACCAGCTAACCGATCTTCCGACATACAGAAAGCCAACGAACTTTGCGGTGACTCGTACCAATGTAAATACGATTATGCTGTGAGTCTGGATAGGGATATGGCGTTTTACACTTTACAATATCAAGATGGGTATGTCAATACGAAGAAGATGAGCAAACAGAGAGGTAATAATATAAAATATAGTAAATCTAATTTCAGAGGTCGCGTGTACTATATATGTATAACATACGCCTATTGGCTATTGGTGGATTGGCCGATCGCACATAATATTATATTTTTGCTACTTAATATTATGACGTACTGTTGTATATAGTGATATCGTGCGGAGTTTTGGAAACGCCACGTTTCGGACGAAAAAGTAACTTTCTGTTTGTACCCAACACCAAGGTGACGTTCGAGTGCAATCAAGAATTCGTATTGATTGGCGACCAGAGAAGATCTTGCTCGTCCGACGGTAAATGGGACGTACCGGAGTACGGGTACACGGAATGCTTACGTAAGTATGCCAACCATTTTGACGTTTTGAATACTTGTGATAAAAATATAATAACGGTCGAATTTCGAGTTGAAAAAATCACACCTATAAAAAAAAAAAAATTAGAATATAGATATAATATTATGTCATATTATAGATCAATAGGGGCCCCTACTCAAAAATCCGAAAGTCGACAATTTTTAAAGTTTATATAATATCACAGGTACTCGCCGTGTATTTAACGAAATGTTTGCCTACGCAACAACATTTTAAATCCGCCCAATTTCTTTCATAGGAGTAACTTAGGTATACAAACTTTTTAACTGCTTTTTTTTGAAAATAAAAAAAAAACGTCAGTAAATAGCTACAACCCGGACAATATAATATATAGAATTTATACAGTTATTAACATATACATATTCTAATCATGTACTTTTACTTCAAATTGAATGTCGGTGGGTATAATCATTTTTATTCACTAAAAACGAAAAAATTATAGTTTCTTATGGGTACTCGCTGCTATAATAACATGCAAGTCCTCAACTTTTCATTATCTTTTTAGAAGTGAGTGCTGTGAATTGAGCGGTGTCTTTGAAACATTTTAAATGCTTATGGTGTTGGAGTGTTTCCTCACCTACAACACGTACCTATTTTTACATAAACTTTTCTTACAATACTGTTTACATAATAATATATAATAGGTACATACATGATTGCAGAGGACACTTAAAATTATAATAAAATAATATTGTCTATTGTACTAGCTGGGAAATTATTCTATTTGCAGAAAGGAAATAATTTAGTCACATAGGAAAACTTTATATAACAGGACGTTATCGATTTCTTAACCGTAAAAAATGTTAGGTAATTCATATAATAATATTTTCAAATGTTTTATGTTAACGAACTTTTCAGAACATTTTTTTGAAATATGTATGCTATCTATAGGTATAATTGTTGTGTTTGGTGAACATAAAAAATCTTAAAAATGAAAGTTTTTACTCACCAAACATCAACCTGTTGAATGTTTCTATAGCTAACGTATATATATTTATAACGCCGGACGTCGCCGTATTTTTTATACTACATCCACAAAATAGTTAAGTACTGTAATCAGTGGCTTTTTGAAAGGGACGGCCTTAAGTGTCCAAACAATGAACAATATTTGATACCTACCTTATTATTTTCTTAAAATATCTATCCAATGGCTAGTGGCTAGAAGATAATCATTTGTATTTATTCAAATAAAAGATCTACAAAAGATGTATAAATATTACATTAAAAAAGGTTTCATACCTTTTTTGTTTTATTTTTTTTTTTTGTAGGGAGGCCTAACTTAACGTAACTCAAGGATAACCCTTCCTGAATACGCTACTGATTATAATGATATAAATTACCATTCTACACACATAGACATACAACTATTTTACACAATACGATGAACATAAACATGTCATGCATAAACTCATGTCCATCGTTATGCTTAATTTATGAAATTTTGCAAAAATTCTTAATGGCTCGAATATCAAGTAGGCAACAGCAGTTATTCTCGTGTTAAACGTCTCAATCTTTCAATACCCTCAAATTGTTGTATTTGTTATTATACGCTAATGTCGATGTGACACTAAAGTTCTAGGTCTATGATGTATTGATGTGACATGTCATCATTGCCAATTCAGTGGCGTATTTGACGGAGACGGTTGGTGGTTTTTTTCCATGTGTTTACAATTTATAAAGTACTATAACAATAAAATGTTAAAATTATACCACCGAATAAAAAAATTCAAAAATCTTTGAATTCGAGTTGATAAATGTGAGATTTTGAGTTATATAAACAGTGAAACCTTAAAATACCGGACACTTTAGGTCGTTGAAATTTTTTTCATTATTCTAAGCCTCTAAGCCCTAAGATATCGGTTTGTAGAGAATTTTCCACGAAATATTATCCACTATTTGGAGGTGTTCGTTTGGGTAAGGATTCCAGTTTTATTATTTTTAAATACATGATGTTTTAAATCATACTTATAATTTACACAAGTGGATGGGGATCAGGGCTTGTCGAAATTAGTCTTTAGCTCAAAAGTTACCTATTATTCTATAACAATGAACAATTATTTTTTACTTTTTAGGTTCTTTTTATTATGTACCTATCTACAAAGGTTTAAAGTGATATTTCGTATTATAGGTACGAGTTCTTATAAAAATCCATTTTTGACCTCTGGGTAATATTATTTTTACCATAGACAAGCAGGTATACAAATTAATAAAAATGGTTTTCAATGGATGAAAGTAATATAATAAAAACAAATTAGTAGTAGTAATTATAATAATTATTAGTCATTATAGTCATTTCTAATGGCCTAATAGCAAATTTAATATAAATAATAAAATTATATTATGATACTGAAATATAGGCCGTAGCCATTTTCCTCCAAAAAAATTAAAAATAATTCTTGATCATTTTCCTCCAATAAATAATAAATAAAATAATAAAATAGTTAATATAATAATTTATGCATATCGAAAAAATTAAAAATATTCTTTATTAGGCTTAATCGACAGCTGATATAGATATATAGCCGATAACAGAATGTATCAACCGAAAATGTGATCCTAGCAGGGCGTGAATATGAAAAAAATTCTGTTTTATGCTGTTAAACGTAACGCAATTTTTACGTTTATCGTTGTTTAGAATTAAAACGTTATTCAACTTTTGCGTTTATCGTTATTCAGAACTAAAGCGTTATACCTACAAGTTTTTCGTTTATGGTTATTTAAAATAGTGTTAATACCTATAAAATTTAAAAAATAATAAATAATTCTGGTAGGTAATGGCCTGAATACGAAATGTAATATAATCAATTCTTAGATTGTAGCATGAAATATATGTTTCTACAAAACCAATAGACCTTTTATACATAAATAGATTTAAAAATATTTTGATTTGCATTATTTTTCGGTCAATGATATTCTATAAATTACGTTTTGCGTTATATTTTGCTTAATGAGATATAATATATTTTTTTAATAGTTATGTTTGGTTTTGCGGTATTTAATTATTTTTGATCATCGTTTTCCGTTATAATTACGTGTATAAATTTCAATCGTTTTTTGTCAAATATAACGTTATTATAACGTTTGCAAGCCCTGAATCCTAGCCTTACTCTATCTTTATAATACAGAATGTAATACTACAACACTGATTAAAATATTGGAGGAAAATAGACATAATTTCAGTCTAAAATAATGAGGAGGAAAATGGAAACTAATCTTTTTTTTGTGAAGGAAAACGGTATCTCGTTTTTGGAGGAAAATGGAACCACCCGAAGTATAGGTATGGCACTATTATTAAGCCGAAAAGGTTTTCTCGACATTTAGTCCAAATACAATTTTGAAATGAACAATACATTTTGCAAATAAAATTGTTTGACTTATAGACAACTCTCATTAAACAAATTCATAAGATAAAAAATCACAATTATAAAATTTTAGGAAGCATATAGGTAAGGATCATACTGGATGGATGAATCTGAATATGGGACAATCTCTTAAAAAACATTATACATAGAATCCCCACGTTTTTTTACCTGCGTATACAACAAAATATTAATCGCTCGCCAACCATTTCAGCTGGCCTTATCAGATACGCCACTGACTGCACATGACACCAATACATTAAATCATTATTCTAATCCATAAAACATGATATATTATTACTTATAAAATAAAATAATATTATATAATATAAGAGTGACGTGATGACGTGGTGTAAAGGTCACGTCGAGTACGAGTCGCGGAGCGCGTGGACGACGATCGCACTGATTGCTGCCCTCATAGTACCGCTGCTGGTAGGCATTTGCTGTGTGGTGTCGCGAGTGTACCGGCGCAGCGGCCGGCTGAGCCTGCGGTACCAGACGGCGCGGGCGGCCAAGAGGCGCAACTCGGTGCTGGCCCTGAGCACGGTCGACCTGTCGTCGGCGGGCGCGGCGGCCAAGCAAAACGGGCGCCGCCGCGACGATGGAGAAAATGACGACGACAATGATGGGTCGTCCACCGACGAGGGCCCGGCCAGTTCGGTGCCCAGTTCCACGAACCCGCGCCGGTCGTACGACGCCGTGTACCGGACGCACGAGCCGCTGCCCGGCAAACCGGAAGTGGACTTCGACCACAACAAGGTCTGGGACCTGGACGCCGAGTACGAGGGACAGCTGGACAAGGTGGACAAGAGGACGGCCATTTACGTACCTGGATCGCCGACGTTCTCGGAGCCACCGCCACCGCCGTCGCTGCCGCCGCTTCAGCCGATGATCCCCGGGGCGGCCACGGGATGGCGGTCGCCCGCCGGACCGTCGGTGGCGGTCCAAAAACAGATTTTGCCGTCTAGATTCAAAGATTCGTTTTGAAAACGAAAAAATAATCGTTTTCTTTTGTATGTGTGTGTGTAAAAGTACGAAATTTCATTCCAAACGCATGACACGGCGGCGGTACTATATAACATTACCTAATAATAATCTGTTTGAAACATGCGTTACGTCGAAGCTCCTCTCCAGCGGTTCGGTATTTATAATCGGCAAATCGCATTTAAATAATTATAATAATATTTTAAAAAAAAATTGCACAACTCTATATTATTAGGTGTATTAATATTTGTTTCTAAATTTTTTCTCCCACAACCCACGAAATAAATTTAAATAGACAATAAAATTAAAGCAATCCTAGCGAGTCCGGTTCAGTCTATGTAGCCAAGTAGTACAATGTAGTCATTGTAACCACGTACCGAAATCGATAACTCACAGTTGACTGTATACAATACTATTATAAACGTCGCCGTGATGGCAATCATGTGGAATGAAAATTCGGCTTTCGATATATTTTTAGTTATTACTTATTTACGTATAATATGTACATATAAATATATTATAATTGTTTATAAACACCGATTGTAAATACATTATCAATTTTGTATGACAATTGTACCGCGATTGTGGTGCACCCATGTACGATTTAACGATTAAGTTTAAAAGTGTTAATTAAATCGCAATCATTTTCATTTCACATGAATTGTTTTTTATTTCTTTTCAAGTGTAGGTACATTTTTTTAGTTGAAGACATTAATTGGATAGGTAGGTGCCATCACGGCATCGCCAAACGAATTTTATTTTAAAACCAAAAATAAGATTATTTTACAAATAACCTCTAATAGGCAAGAACTTTGTGATGGGAATTAATTGAATTCTTCCACCTATGACCTCACAAAATACATTTACTTATAACAAAGTTAGGGATGATGTAAATAAAATATGGCTGGCAGGTCGGAAGTGGTCAGACCTTATCACAGACTTCAGCCCCACTGCAACCAGCCCTTTGAAAAACGCAGCAGCGTCAGAATTAAATCTTTCGGCCCGCCACTGTAACACAGTGATAATTTACCACAGTAATCAGCTAAAGTATAAAATATTATATCTATCCGTGGTTCTCACTTTACACCGATACAGTTGACACATTATAGATATCTAACCATACCCTTTAATAAGTGCAAAGTGCACATATTCATTCATTTTTATCTGCAGGAATGAATATACTGTAGCAGTTGCTCGGTACATTGAACAACCAAGGTGGAAATATTATATATATTATATTATTATAATATATCCACTTTCATAATACTACTAACGATTATTATTAAACGATAAAAAGTAGGTGGGTACCGATTGTACCTCATTTAATGTATTGTAACTTTACCTATTTGAACGATTCCACATAAGAAAATAAAATTCCCATCATTAGGCTACCTATAATATTATGCACAACGCCGTACATTTATTGTAATTTTACGATTTAAATACATACCTAATATCGTAAAATTGTGATTGATACCGCGGAAATTGAAATCAATAATTTTAAAAGGACCGCTCGGCGCTCGAATATAATCACGTTGGGGCCTAATCAATAAGTAATGAGTCATTACTAGGTAGGTATATAGATAAATATGAAGAGGTGACAGTGCCGGTAATGAGAATCCGAGATTAATATTAGTAAATTCTAGATAAACAAACGAACAAAACAATGACAAATTATTTTCTATTTAGATTTACAAATTAAATATGAATAGGTAATGATTGAGTCTTGGTTTTATTTTTAAATATGTAAATTTTGTTTTGAAAATAAATCGATTTTAGTCAATAAAAATCTCAAAATCGAAACACATTATTTTTTGTACCCTACGATGGTGGAAAACTTGGAAAAGGATAAATACTGAAACATAAAAATCAAAGTTCTTTATCGATTGCCGCACTTAGAATATTCAGCGAGCCGCAGTCATTGATTATTGTCCGGGTGGTGCTGCACAACCTTTTGATTACCCAAACAAGGAATAAAATATAATATTAAGAGGGCCAGGACGTGATACCCTCATGTGTTGTCTCTGTCTTAGAATTGCGTAACATAGCAAATTCAACGCAAAGCAGAACACGTGTAGCTCCGTTAGTTTAAAAATTAGAGTGAATTGACCTCTTATAAATCTAAAGTTGAGATTATTATCTAGACAACCTCATGACTTTTTATTAAATTTTAATTTTTAAGTGAGCTATGAGTATTTTAAAATTGTAAATTGGTTATAGATCTTAAAGTACTCATAACTAGCCTACAAATTAAAATATTATAAAAAGCCCATGAGGTTGTCTAGATAATAATCTTACCTTTAGATTTCATAAGAGGTTAATTTACTCTAATTTTTAAATTAACGGAGCTACAAGTGTTTTTCTGAGCGTACAATTTGCTATGTTATGCATTTGTAAGGCGGAGACAACACATGATGGTATCCCATCCTCTTAAGCGTACATACTACTGCAATACCTATTACCTACATTGATTAATCGCGATGTCGACGCACGCGCAACAGGTCATCAAGAGTTTTCGTCGAGGGCCCTGGTGACAATCGTACCGATCATGCTGCTCCTGTTGGGGCCGCTGTTTCTCATCCTGGTATGCGTCGGTTACCGGGTGTTTGTCAAGACCAAAAAGGCGCAGGCAGTTAAGTGAGTACCGTCCGCAGAACCAGACCCCCCCCCCACAAACCATAATGGGCGGAGGAGCGAGAAATCATTTGAAGAGACTATTTTTAAAATCCGTTTCGTTTTTGTTTTCTCGGTTGACATATTCAGTCGGTTACGAGGCTTGTCGAGACGTAACTCACGACAGTCACGCGATGGCACTCCTGTCCGAATCGGTGACGAAGAATTGCAGCAGCAGCCAGGCCCGGACGACGAGAGGAGAGACACGGCCGAGGAAGGTCATCAGAGGGAAACGGAAATCAACTGACAACCGGCAAGCGGTTTTCGGTCATCACAAGTCATGTCGTCCATATATTTATATATATATATTAATAATTTTGTTACACTTTGTAATAATTAGTTTTTAATTTTTTCAACAATTTTTAAATATATAATATAATATAATATAATAATGTCGATTTCAAAATATTATTATGTTGGTCATAAAATATAAATACAAAAATACACGGTTTTATGAAAAATAAATATTTAACATATTTATAAATACACAATAATAATATAAATAAAAGTATACAAGCGTCAAAAAAAAAAGGTAATAATAATAACGTGATGATGATCACAATGATAATGGTAATAATAATAATAGGCCGAAAAATGTCAGGTCCGTTTTTGCGATATATATGTATATTCTGTTAGTACGTATGTCAGTATAATATGTAAAGGGTGATTTTTTTTTGATATTTTGATTAAAAAATTACACGAGGTTAATATTTTGTTATCGTTTATATAATTATATTCAATCCAACCAGTAATCAGCTATATGTATATATTACATTTTAGTCGATCGACCGTCGAAATACTGCAGAGATCACTGTTCATTACGTCTAAGTCGATCGGATTAAAAAAAAATTAAAATGTTATTTTGAATTTACTCTCAAATAGGATCGGGTAAAAATAAGTCTTTACGTTAAAATATAACAACCTGTCGGTGAAAAATATTCGGAACTAAACGTCGTTACCATATAAAACGGAAAATTTCGTCCGGACGGTTCGCTGAGAACGCGTTCGTCGTCATGTGGACCTAATTCCCGTACACGACATTTTTTTCCGCGACCGTATACCTGGTAATTGGTATACGGGGTCCAAATAGTGACATTTTTGCGCGAGTTATTGTCGGACGGCGTCCGTGGCGCGTTTTTGGAAAGGCAAGAACTCGGCAACGTATCGGTCGTATCGTATACAACGAGGGTGTTGTTAATAGTATTGTCGAAAGGTAAACATATAAATAAATAATTCACAATTAAATACTTAAAATAATGGACAGCGTAATAAATTTATGAAGAGGAAGGAACTTTAACAACGAGAAAAAAATGGGCAAGGGGATAACAATAATTCAATTTTAGATAAAAGTTTTGTAAAATAATTATTAAAAAAATGTCTTAAACGTTTTGAAATCACAGATTAACAGTTATGAAAAAAATTAACGAAAAACAAATATCGTTACTAGAACATCCAACACTTTATAGACTCAATAAAATATGTAAATATAATATAAGTACCTATTATATAATATATTATAGTATTATCTAAATAACTTTTCGAAATATATAGGACTTTTCGATCTGATGAAAAAAATATTTGTCCAAAACAATATAACTACAATATTATTATACTCTCTTACTATGAATATATAATAAAATATAATATATAATTTTTATAACATGAACATAATATTTATTATATTAATTTTATAAAATGGTAATATCTGTTGAGTTATTATTATCAAGTTTTTTTTGCTTTATTAAAATATATATTGCATGTGTACAATGTACGTGTTTGTTGTATCGAATATTATAATGAAAGTCACAACCTATCATTGATTTCACAGTCCCTCGTACAAGGGATTTCGAGTAAAAAGTAAACAACCATCATCTAGCACCGTTCTATATAGAAAAGGAATTTATTGTATTAAACTGCGTAAAAAGGCGATTATACTAATTTGTCGTATTACTCGAAAATAGTTAATCGCCCTACCAGTCGGGGAAAGGTGAAATATATTACGACAGCAGCCGGAAAGGGAGTTGAAGTGGAATTGATGAGAAAAAAAAGAGGACGACTACGTAAGTTGGGTTTTCCGCTCAGTTCCGCTGTTGCTGCAACAGTCGCTTTTCCCACTCCTCCCGGCGCTGCTGTATGCGCTTGAACCTGGGCACGACTTCAACCGCCGCCGCCGCAACTGTCCTGTTCTCGTTGACGTCCACCACCACGTGCTCGGCATGGTGGTTATCGTTGTCCACCACAACAACGACCACGCGGTCCTCAGACGCCACCGCGACCGGTTGTTCCACCGGCCAGTCGCCGTTTGCGGTCATCACCTTGTGGTCGACGTCACCGTCGTCGCCACGGTCGACATCGGCCGACACCAACAAAAATTCCGGTTCGCCATCTTTGCCCAACTTCAGCGACCGCCGGGCGAACACCTTGAGCAGTTCTGGTTGTTGTTGGTCGTCACGCTTCTTCCTCCGCACAACCACGTCGGCCGCGGTGCCACCCCCACCGTTGTAGAGCTTGGATGGACGCGGAGCGGGCACAGGGCGCAGGTGTTGTTGACCACCGTCAGTGCCGCAGACTTGGTGTTCCGAGTCACTCGAACTGTAACTCCGGTGCCGTCCGTCGGTGGTCATGGACACCGCAACCGCCGAATCGACGGACTCGTCGAGGGCGGCGCTGGACATGCTGTCCGACGACGACGATTTCTGGACGGACGACCCGTCGCCACTAGACGTCGCATCGTCGTCAGTGGCGGCCGTCTGGTTCGAGTGATGCTGTCCGAGGCTGAACGATTGTTTGATCGGCGCAAAAGTGTCCGGCTCGAAAACGTCCTCGGCGGTAGCCACTGACGGCACGGGAACGCGGTGGTGCTGTGGACCGTGGTCGGGTGGCATGTCGGGTGGATACGACAGCTGCATGCGGCCGGCCGGCGGCGGTTCTTCACGTTGCCGTGGCCTCGCGCCCGTCGTCTCGTCGAACAGGAACCGGTCCACATCCACGTCTTCAGTGGACGCTGACTTGGCGGTGGCGGCGGCTTTCTTCTTAGTGCTTCGGCGCGACAACAAGCGGTGGAAAAAGCCCTCTTCGCGCCGCGGAACGTTCTCCACGGAAATCTCGTCCACCGACGTGTCCAAGTCACAGGACTCGACCGTCGAGGCAGTGGCGGTGCAAACTGTGTCGGTGACGACGACCGGCACCGCAGTAGTGATGACTGTGTCATTTGAATTAATGGAGGTGGTGGTGGTGGTGGAGGTGTTGGTGTTGGTGGTGGAGGTGGTGGTTTTAGTGTCTGAGGTGACGGTGCTGATGGTAGTAGTGCCATCTGCAAAAAAAAAATAGATTAACACGTGTAGTAGTAGTGAGTGCAAAAGTAAAAAAAAAAACTTAAAAATCCACGTGATCAACGAAGGAAAAAAGCGATCATTATTATTATTATTATTAGGTACATAATCCGGAGCATCGACTCAAACAAGAACACGCGCGAGTTGATCTATATCTAAATCATAGCAATGACATTAAATTTTAGAACGGCACTAGCAATGCGTTTTTCCATCGACTAGTCATTGTTATTGCAGTTTTCATCGTTGCGTAGTCTATGGAACCGCCGCATAGGGGACACACGTCCTCTTCGCTGATGGCGGACAGTCTTTTTCTCGTCGACGCCACATCGTCGTTACCACAGAAATTACTACTACTCGTGTCACAATTACTATCACTACTCGTACTAGTACACACGAAATAACTCTCCAGAAACGCCAAATACCCTTCCGGATAAGCGTACAAATTCAGTCTAATTCTACCTTGGGTCACGTCGACTTGTTGTAGTTGTTGTTGTTGCGATGGTAGTGGTGGTGGTGGTATTGGTGGTGATTGTCGTCGTTTGCGAATCGACAACGGAGGAGAAATCTTGTTAAATCCGACAGGGCGGACGGATGAACTTCGCACGAAATACGGAAGCGTGTCGTTTCGGACGCGATACGCGCCGGAACGGCTACGGCTTAAGCAGCCGCACAGCCAAAAAGCGCGGGACCGTCGATTCGGTCGTATTTTACGTTTCGGTTTAGCATAAGCGTTATTTTTCGACGGTCGTCTAGCTTTGAATTTGCTAGGGTAATAAGCGGAATAGCTTTGTCCGTAATTGTATATACCTGCTGTGTCGGCAGTCTGAGGCTTGGTTTCGGGCGAAGTTGACCGGCCAGAGTGCTCTTCATTCACTTCAGGCGTCGCGGGAAGAGCATTCGTCACAGATAGCTAAGTGTAAAACATCGATGACACCAATTAGTAGACGTTACTAGTATAAATACAGTGAAATTTCCATAATACGTAGTCTCAGTCAACAATAAAATTCGTATATTACAGAGAGATTTATTAAATAGAATTAAATTAATTTGGTTTGGTTCTCAAAAATATTGTGTTAAACAGAAAGTTTTGTTAATTGGAAGTTCGTTATATGGAAGTATCATTGTATGTGATAATTCAAAATAACACAGTTGGATCATCAAGACTTACCGGTTTTTTACTGCGAGGGTTGCCGTGCTTTCTTTTGGGTCGGATGGCCATTCGGTGCTTAGCTACGTCATGACTAAGAGGAACGCTTGTCGAATAGTCACCATCTGCACAAAGTATAATACATAGGTTCACAATACTATATTATTAATATATGGGTCAATATGACAGTAAAAATATTAAAAGATGCTCGTGACGTTTACCCGAACTGTCAAGATGAGTTTGAGATGTGCGCTTGTCGTGTAACGATATTTTGGATGAATGTCGAGAATTGTGAGCTCCAAAAGAATCCTATAAGAAAGATTGTAATAAATTATTACAAATAATAGATAATATTTTAAAATTTTTATTTTTTAAATTGACAAAATGTGATATAACACGAGTTATATACTAATACAATAAATTAATTAACTACAACTAGTTAAATTATTAATTATTTAAAAAACTTCCAAGACATACTATAGGTTTTGGTAACAGGACGTCGTACCCGCATGTGTAACTCAGCTTAGTTGACAAGCTTAGTTACATACACGTAACTTGGAAAATCTACGAATCATATTCTTACTACAGTTTATTCATAGTTAATATTAGAGCAAATTTACTTAATATCGAACTTGTAGAAGAAAATATTAACTATGCACGAGTGAAGTTTTTTTCATATTTTTATTTTAAAATGAGTTTAAAGTACTTAAACAATTATTCATTTTTTCAAATTCACAAAACTCGGTTTCTTCTTCACTTTCATTACTACGACCTTCACTCCCAACTTTTTGAAGTCGGACCCCCTTGTCCTACACATCTATAGGGAACTACCCCGCCCCATCCAACCTCTTCTTAACTCACAACAGCTATTTTCGTGTCACTCTCTATTCTGTCTAACCATATCTTCTTCGGTCTTCCTCTCACACTAACTAGTTTTAAAATTAAAACATGAAAACATTTTTTCGTTCGAGCACAGTTTATATTCTCCTCGATAATAAGTAAATTTCCTTATTAATTAACCATAGTAGGAATCCGGTGTATATATGACATATTGCAAGTGTTTTACACAAAGGCAAATGACAATGTATGGTACAACGTCCTCCACTCTTTCCAATAAATGTTAATTTAACGATATATTTAAATAGTTTCGTATTTGATTTGATTTCAATTCAACTGTACTTTAATCATGTATTGTGTATAATATTTAATATTAATTACTACATTTAATTAACACCTATAATTTTTTTTTAAGATTTTAGCTATCATATTATATTATGTGCCATACTTCGTCCATTTCGGAACTGCCCATACTAAGGAGTGATCCATCACTGCATGTACTATGTGAAGATTTAGTTATCAGCTCCTAGTAATACATTTTTAAAAATAATTATTTATTAGAATAGGTTTGATAAAAAAAGTTTAAGCTATAATCTCACTTTGCTCAATCGGAGATCGTTGCCAGTGGCAATAGTAGGAGAATGCATTGATGGACTTCGTGGGAGTCCTAAATCTTCATTGTCCATATCGAAACTATCATCGTCATCTTGAATTTTTCTTCGCCTTCTTACCGCTTCTAGTAATTCAGCCTTTTTTTAAGTTAAAATAATTTTAGTATGAAAATTACATAATCGATTACAATTTTATTAAGGTATTAAAAATAGATTTGTTATTCCATGGACAATAATATATCTATATCATAATCACACCTAATTCATGCATATATAACTTGTTCGTGTGTAAATTAGTTTACTCTAAATTATCATTTTTTGACACTGTTTTCGGTAATATTGTGCACTTCAGTAATCTTAGTGCAGGTTAGTATTTGAGTACTTGTCTTATGTGATAGGAAAAAATTAATTATTTATTTTTTGATAGTTACTTCTAAAAGGAACTGGTCAACAATTATTTTGAATTTATAATATATTTTTTATTCGATTGGATATCAACGAAAATATATAATTACAGTTAAATATTAAAGATTTACACCAAGTAAATATATAATTAATATTATCAAATTGTTTTAATTTTTAATTATAAGTAATTATTTGTAATGAATGAGACTTACATTCAAATAGGCTTCAATTATCGTCATAATAGTATACATAATTTTATAGTTCTTCGTAAGGTATGAGGTACACAAGTTTAAAAAGATAAATAATATATAGAATCAACTATCATATAATAGCAGTAACAGACACAGAAGGTATCACAACAGGGCGTTACACATGGTGGTTTGCTATACAGTGATGATTAAAGGTCACGGTCAGCTGGGTTCCCGCAATTCTCCCTATTCGAAATGCTTCGGGCCATTGTAGTGTCTGGTACACATATTAAATATAATAGGTCGTTAATGCACTAGCGCGCGCATCAACCTCGCTTATCTAGTTTTAATCGAGAGAAAATGTAAAATGCACGCAAACTAATAAATATGATATTATGTATTATGGTTCCAGGTTGAATTCAAATAAGTAGTGTTTTTAACTAGAACTGATTTTTTTGACTAAAATGTATTAAACAATTTATTAAATAATTTACTTACTTGAGCCATATTTTTTTAAGAAAACTTAAAAGGAACTTATGTGTTTAAAAGATTTGACGATACAAATTGAGAGTTTCGGTTTCTGTACATAAGGTTAGACAGTAAATCTGAATAGCAACACACTACATCATTCATACGACTTTATATTTTATATAAATATTAAATATACATAATTCATTGAACGTTGCATGGCAGTATGTGATTTGTTTAAAAAATATTAGAAAACAAGTGTTCAGCAAATTAAACGGAAATTAGCTATTGTATTTTGTACCATTTGAAAAAATTAAAACGAACAATACTAATGACTACATATCAACATGTATAGAAAACAATGAGAAAATGTTCTACGATAATACGATAAAATATTCTAAAATACCTATAATATAGTAATGAAATCATATTTTTCTTGTGTGTATTATTAATTGTATATCAAATCAAAACTTGAATTTTTAATTACCTGTATATTGGCTTGAGGAAATCCTAACCGCGGCACGGATACAGTAGATTCAGAATCGGATTGACCAGAATGTTGTTCAGGGTTGAATACGCTGTCGTGGCTAACGCTCAATATTGTGGAGTGTAAGCTTCTATAATTAATTTAAAAACTTCATTAAAACATTGCCCGGGAGCATGAAAGATGAAGAAAGACTTCATTCTTTGTACATACCGCCTCCTGGTAAATGGCTCATCAATCAGCTGACTAGTCGAACGACTTCTGGATGTATCCAAACTAGGTGGTTCTACAATATTGTCACATGATTTGACATCGTTGGGCTCAGGACTCTGAGCTTTACGTCTGAATATTCGACGCAGACGTCTAAGTGGATTAAATCGACGTGTTTTGGGTTCTATTAATATTTTTACAATTAAAAAATATTATTGAATGATTTTTTTGTTATTGATCTTTACTAAATTTACCTGGTCTCTGAACCACATGTTCCGATTGCGGTGATGATTCCCGCACACAAGACATATTGTGTAAATAGCATACAGTTTACTTTATATTTTCCGCTGCATTTGGCTGTAACAAAAAAGAATAAGGATTAATCATTTTGATAAAAATCTTTGAACATTCAAAACGAAAAAAGGCATATTAATCAAAATTTAGTTTGTGGGATTACCGATTAATGTCATTATGTACGTCAATAAATTAAGGTTCTCTGTTCGCCAAATACGAAAAACATGTGGCCCCCTATTATGTATTAATATACACCATATTGCAGTATACACTGAACATTTCCATTCGAATAAGAGCGCAAGATAGAAATGAAAACACAGATTAATGTGCCGTTATTTTAAAATCTATAGTCAGGCTACAAAAATATAAAACCGTGCCAAAATAATAAACTAAGAAATAAGTGGCGATTGAAACTAAATATAAACCAAATCAATGAAAAAGACAAGCAGATACTTAATATATTATATAGTTTACGCTTCAATAAACAATTGACATATAAAAAATGCGACATATAATTGAATTTAAAATTAGACTTGGTACAGACACAGTGTTGGTGATGTAATTTTTGCCTGTTGATGTATTAACTGTATCTACACTTTATATTGAGAATGTTAATACTATAAGATTTGGCTGATTTGAAAAGAAATATAATCATAATTTGTACATCAATATCAACGCATAACTCAATCAGCTTAACTAATGAGTAATAAACAATTCGTATGCATGTATTATAAACATACCATGCTTTAAAAAAATATATATAAAGTATTTTAATAGTTAGATGTGGGCCGATATGGGCTGTAATGTTATTAATTATTATTAGCTGCAATTAACATAAAAAATAATATCATGTCCTCAAGTATGGGCTATTACCTATATATAGGCATTATAAGCAAATATCTATACATTATTATAGTATGTGTTTTTACTTTTTTTTATTGTGAATCAGAAAACATACATGGGCAACAGGCGATAAAAAAACTAGGTAGATACTTTTATTTAAATTTTAACTGACATACTTTTTTACATTTTCTCAAATATTTGTACCCTCCAAATGAAAATAAAATATTGTATATTACCTAGTCGATAAAAAGGTTAAAGTAAATAATATGTATAATTGTATATTATATTATGTAAATACATAGATTAATGATTATGAGTGGGCCGTTGCGTTTTATCAATGGCCCATAATATTATAACTAACACAGAAAAACAAAACAACAGCATGGTCCACTCTATACATCAGTTTCTAAGATTATATATAATACATTGTTAATTTATTTACATCAGTTTATTAGTTTTAATATTTTCTGTACCATATTATTAACATAAAATAAAAATATCTGTCAAATTCTCAATATAATCCTTGCTAACAATCTTTTATAATATATACAATAATCATATTGTACTTAAATGATAATTTCAAATGACAATAAATATTAGGTATATGTTTAGGATTATTCGTTACCATGGGATTTTCAAGCAGGCATAATAATATAATGTACCTATATAAATGGGTCTTCATTTATCGATAAAATAAAAAAACTTATTTTTAATTTATATATTCTTCAAAATTACCTAAGTTATAGTAAATTATGAATAATATGTACTTTATCTATTAATATTTTTTTGATTTAGATTTTGTGTTTGGAGTGTTTGGAAACAACACGTTTATATTTTGTAAACGACACATAGATAAAACATGAACACAATATTATTTTTAAGGAACTTAAACTGTTTTTAGGTTGTTTAAATGAAATTAATTTTTATATTATTATAATGTTGTGGTATCGACATAGTATTTACACGCCCCGTTAAATTATCATTTAAGTACAATATGATTATTGATTATATTATAAAAGATTGTTAGCAAGGATGATTTTGAGAATTCGACAGACATTTTTATTTTATGTTAATAATATGGTACAGAAAATATTACAACTAATAAACTGATGTAAATAAATTAACAATGTATTATATAGAATCTTAGAAACTGATGTATAGAGTGGGGCCATGGGGGTACTGACAAATTCATATAATTATTAAATTATACAATTTTTAAGCCCTCGAGGACTTAACAATTACAATTTTAACTATAACCTACCTTACAAAAAAAAATGAAAATATTTTCAAATATATTTTTTATTATATTTATTTTATGTTTTAATTTGGCTTTGATTTGAATAAATTTGCCACTCAACTTCCTTTGCAGTGATTATAGCTTTTAAGTAAACGTATTTTATTGTATAATTAATTTTTATAACAGATCATCTATTTGTATAACTTATTAGTTATTAATATATAAAATATAATTATTCCATATGTAAAAAAACTACTTATACCTGAGTTTTATTTAAAATGTTTTTAAATAAACAACAACATGAACGTATTTCCATATTTCTTTCAAAAAAAAAAGGTAATGTACAGAACGACTTGGTTTTTTAGGAATGAACGTTTTACGTTAACTTCATATAATGAATTTAATTGTAAAGTAAACTTTCCGAACTCTAGATTTTGTAATTAATCTTGACTAGTTGGTGGGATGATTAAGAAATTAATTTGGAAAATATAAATATATAAACATAAAGAAATTTTCGAATAACTACCCTCTCGGTCATGACGATATCAAACCTTAAATCGGCAAATACACTGTATATAAATGGTTTTTTAAGATTCAATGTACGACTAAGAATAAGAAAATTACATCAAATTTACAAAACTAAATTTTTTTAACATACACAAATAATTACAGGATGATCAGAAATTGTTATTACCAACAATTTGAATTATTTCTTAGATACTAATACTATATACTGAAATTTGTAATTAATTTAAACTGAACTTCGTATAGGTACCTATAATTGTAATGATTATAATTGTAATCAAGTAATCATTGTTACACATGTGATATTATAAACGTTACGAATTTAGGGCTTTCAAACTGTCTACACTCTTTTTTACATTACATACCTAGTACATACAAATATACAATACTAATTTGAAGTATTTAAATTGTGTAGCACCTACATATTGTAGGTATTTACACGTATCAATAGGTAGCGTATTTAAGATTTTTACCCCTACGCAGGCAACGGTATATACAAATAGAAGCAGTTGCCAACTAGACATTTTTTTTCTACAGTAATAATAGTCTAATAGTATCCAAATTAAAAATATTCGATTAATGAATATTTTTGTAAAAAATTATGTTCAAATTAGGAATGATTACAGGAGGTGAGGACTGATAGCATGCAGTTGATGTAAAATTAAATAATATAATTTATAAGTTATAACTAATAAATGAGATAACTGATAATTACCTACATTTCAAACTATAATGTAGTTTTTAGTCTTTGGTTTCTTAATATGAATATATGTTTATCTAAAAAAATCATTATATTTAAAAAAAATAAATATAATATATATTATTAATATTATGTATGATGGAAAATTGTTTGCTCTCTCCTTACAAATTCCTACGGACGCTGTTGCCCCCTGGGTGTAATTACAACACATAATTTTATAACCTCTATAAAATGCTAAAAATATAAATTTATCTTTTTTTTGTCTACAAAGGATATATTAAATTATAAAACAAGATGTAACAGAAAGACCTGACAAATTAAATTACTTTTGTCTTAATTAATATTAAAAAAATAAATAAATAAATAAATCACTTATTAATATTGGCCGACGTAGCTGTGTGCCATAGTGATTACTACGATTATAAATACACAGCTGATACAACGAGGCTCAAGTAAAATTATCCGTCGGTATACCAAAGACATAGAAAATAACTGATCCTGAAACTATTTTATGTTGGTATATTACTGCTTTAATGTATATAGGTAATATACTTTTTCTGTATCTTGATATTTAATATTCTCAAAAAATTATTTTTCTCAAGTACAGGAAAATATTATGTAGGTATATAATAAATATTCATGGTCGTACATATTATTACGCAGTACATATTTGGGATACTATTTAAATAAGACTCATAGTAATTTATTTACGTACCTATAAACCTATACCTACATTATGCTTAAAAGTACATTAAGTTGTTAAATATTTTATAACACCAATTAATAATAAATTATATTTTGATGGTAGGTAGTAGGTACTTATCAGATATCCTTACTTCGTTAAAATTAGATAAACACAAAATAATTTACAACATTTTTCTGAACAGATAATTTGATATAATTTCCATTATCATAAACACGAAACAGTTTATAATTTATTCTATTTATGCGGTTGCATAAATATAATGGCTGAATCATCATTTCAGATAGGTCTGACTTGTACAATTTGCGTAAATTTATATTTACAGCGAAAGTTTGAAATGTAGACAAAATTCTGTACTATTTGTGTAAAGTGAAAAATATAGTTAAGGTGTTCAATTTATTCAACAAGTAATTATAACAAATTTTAAAATATTATGATAGGTAAACACAAAATTCAGGTTCCGGCATCGATGGATAACAAAACTATTTTTTTATATACATTTTATTATACTCGTATCATAAGTATTATGTTCTAATATGGGATATTAATATATTATTAAACTACCAATAATAGTAGTGCCAAAAACTTAACTACTAGTGATTAAGGGGCCTGCACGCGACCTGTTTTTTTGCTCAAAAACATGCCTTACAGGAAAAACTCTCACGCCTCGTAGATTGGTCCGATTTCCGTAATTTTTTTTTTGTTAGATAGAGGAAGACTTCTTACAGGGCGCATTGGACTTGGATTTTCAACATTATTTTTCTAAGTCTTATGTTACAAGTTTGAATTTAATCAATTTTTACAACTTTTTAGTTTTTGTATTATTTTTTGTTTTTAGCGACGTAATCAAAAATCGAAGTCCAATGCGCCCTGTAAAAAATATTCCTCTATCTAAAAAAAAAAAAATTACAGAAATCGGACCAATCTACGAGGTGTGAGAGTTTTTCCTGTAAACTGTGTTTTGACCGATATAATACACCCTATCAACCCCCCCTAAATAGGTATTG